CATCGAGAAATTGTCGGATGACATCAAAGAAGCGGGACGATTTCCCGTAATTCGCTGAGATATCCAGCATACAGGTCAAATACTCGCCTTTCCATTGAGGCATGAAATCGGGAAGCTCCATGCCAACATCACCTAGATAAAGGTTGTCAGTGGTGGAGAGAGCCTTGCTCAACCTCGGAGTCATCGTATAGGTTTCATGGCCACGAAGGCTGACACCGATGGGTTTCAGCTTTTCGATGACAATTGCCGTCTTGTCGTCTTGTTCTCGGCCAGAGAAATGCAGATGATGCAATTTGAGGCCCTCCACATCGAAAGAACGAGCATGTAGGCTGAAGTTCAGAGAACCGACGTGTGCCCCGTGAAGAAGAATCTCCAGTGCTTCTGGGGGTTGATAATATTGAGGAGCACGCTGTCCAATGGAGGTCACACATTCCACATAGCCGAAGTGCTTGTTCTTCAGATGTTTTGTAGCGTAGAGGAGATTCTGATGAGTACGAGCAATCGACACGAGGGCACGCTCGGGTAGCGGCTCCATGATTTCCCACAAGAGAACGACCGGAAGATCGCAGATGTTGAGTGATGATTTGTAGATCTTCTTCTCTCCATCATTTTCATCATCTCCCGTGTTCTTGCTCTCCTCGACGATTGTCATGCCCATCAGATCATCTTGTAGAGCGAGCAGCTCCTTCTCAAATTGCGCCTTATCCATCGAAGCGTCGCGCCGTCTGCTTACCTGAAAAGGAGAAATTAATTTGATGAATTTTGTAAAAAAAGAGCCAACAATGGAAATAGAGAAATACGGTTAGATAAAATAGAGAAAGGAGAATAAGAATGGAATATGCTGATAGCGAAAAAGCCGGGATCTAGCTATAGAGTTGAAAAGAAGCCGTTTCGCGATTTCCCACGGAATATGAGAAAGAATTCACGCGCGGAATAAAAATAAAAAATCGCCGGGCTAATTTCCCATCAATTAGCCCGCAGTAAAGCTATTTTATATTCTCTCCACTCAAATATTCCCTCTTCCTCGTCCCTTCACGCCCTCCTTTAAATAAAGCCCCCCCCCCCCCTGTATTTAACGCCCTACTGTAAATTTTCACGGTCATTTGGGGGGCGTTAAATGCAGGAGGGCGTTAACTACAGGGGTCGTTAGTTACAGGGGCGGTGAACGGGCGTGAAAGGGCGTTAAATATGGGTTGCCCTCTTCGTCCCAATTCCACGTCGCCGGCAGGGTATCTAAAAACCGGAAAAAAGCGAGACAAATCACTAACCGCAATCCGAAATGCATGTCCTTGTGTTGACCCAAAGATCCATCCACTCGTAGCTTTTTCACTAAATTTTCAATTTCAGTAAATACACACCAGCAAACAACAATAAAACTTGCCTGTTTGGACAGCTTATGGATGTGCATCTTCAAACGAGTCCATCGGCTTTGTCGAAGCTATGGTCGTTGATCTGTAGACTCAAGGCACCTTCCTTGTTGTGATTTATCTTCGAAAGCGCCGTCGTGTCAACATCATAGCCAGCAACACCTTCTTTTTGTCTTCGGTCGCATTTCTAAAAAAGAAAAACGGAGAAGTAGTAGGTCCGATCACGAACCGCTATCCAACAACGGCAGAGCATCTTTGATGCTGCCAGATCGCTGCCGTCCCTCGCCTCGCGATTTTCCTTAAAAAATATAAAAAGAAACTTGAAAAATAGACATGACCTTTTAGCGCATCCTATTCTTCGGCCGTTCCATGGGCCCATTTCTGCAATTCGAGCCGCCATATCGCGCGCAGAACCTGAAATTTGAAATTTTATCTCAGGCCATTTGAATAAAAGAAGCGAAACGCGGCATTGAGAGAGCAGGAGAAATGAAACGGTGCTTAAAATCAATCAAATGGACACCGGAAATTGGGAGCAAAAAGCCGGCATAAGTTAGAAAAGGCGGCAGAACATGCGGGAAGGACCGATCCCGATATATATAGAAGGATTGTTGAGGAAACAACTGTAAGCAAAGCCGAATGGTTGGCGTTGCAATGGATAATCCGGTCCGAGACTATTTGGATGAAGTTGCTGGGGAGCATTCGAGTGTTGAAGCCAATCTCTAGTCGAAATTGAGATGGCGCTCCCTTCTTCCGTTCATCGAGAAATTGTCTGATCACATCGAAGAAATGAGAGGGAGCCTCCGACAAGGTACAGCTCAAGGAATTGAAATTCCACTGGGTGATGAAGTCGAGAAGCTCCATCCCGACGACACGAAGATCGAGTTGGCGAACTGTGGAAAGAGCCTGGCACAATCTTGGTGTCATCCGTCCACCCTGATACTTCTGAAGGCGGATAGCCTGGGGCTTCAGTTTCTCGATGACAATTGCTGCTTTGTCACCTTGTTTATAAACCAAGTAGAGACGTTCCAACTTGAGTCCCTCCACATCGAATGTGCCAGCATCCGGGAGGACAGCCAGATACCGGACGTGTGCCCCATGAAGTAGTATCTCCAGTACTTCCGGTGTTTGATAGCTGGGATCCCGATGAACTGTGGACACACATCTCACCCAAGGAAAGTACTTGTCCTTCAGATGTTTTGTCGCGTAGAGGAGTTTCTGATGGGTACGACCAATGTAGAGGAGATCGTATCCATCCAGCGGTTGCAGAATCTCCCACATCATCTCCAGGGGAAGATCGCAGAAGTTGAGCGCAGATTTGTAGACTTCCTTTACTCCATCACGACCATCCTCATCTCCCTTCTTGTTGCCCTCCTCGACGATGCCGATATTCGTCCCTCCATCGTCCTGTAGAGCGAGAAGTTCCCTCTCGAATTGCTCCTTATCCATCGAAGCGTCGCGCCGTCTTTTTACCTGAAAAAGACAATTGATTTGAGGCCGCTTGCAAGCAATGCCAAATGAGGGCGCCCCCGGCCGCTTCGCCGGCCTTGTCGCCCCCATTTCGAAACCCTGTACGAGCTCGCACCCATCCGAAGCGACTAGGCCCCCGGGTGGCACGAAGCCTTTTTCTAGTCACAGAGCGGAGGAAGTAGCGATCGCTTCCCTCCAAATTGAGTGACTTCCGTTGCAAAACCGTCTTTTTTGATGTTTCAGAAATTCAGAAATTTGGAGGAAGCGCAAAATGTGTGATAATAAAGCTTTTCCTGCGCCCTTTGCAACGCCCCGTATTTGGTACCACAGTACGTTCACAACTATTACGTTTTTCTGTACAAAGGAGTCTCTCGTAGCCGAAACCGACTTTTTCGATGCGGGGCGGATTGGTTCAACACAGCTATAACTTTTGTTAAAAGCGAGTCCCAATAGTTTTTTCAACGGGAAACGCAAGAACTCGATGAGATCTATCGATTCCAGTCGAAAAATTGACATTTTATTTAGTTACCGTAAAGTGAAATTTAGCCAGAAGATTGTTTCGGCTGTTCGCTCCAGGGATTCAGGAAGCTTCCCCCTCCCTCCTTTGTTCTAGTCTATGGAACAATGCGGATATCACACCATGGCCCCCGAATATTATTCTAGGCAAAAATGATGGATTTTAGGGTTTTTATTTCCATTTCGAGGTTTTTCTGATTGTTTTGAAATACTAGAACATTTTTAACGGGTTTTTAAAGTTTTCTACGCGTTTCGGGGTGAATTTGGGTGGAATTTACAAATTTTTAAAGTTTTTTGTTTTTTAAAATTGTATAAACGATTTTTGGCCGTCAGCTAACTACCCGGAATGTCACTTTTTATACGTTTTTTTTTTACAGTTTTCCAGCCTTTTTGGGTAAATTGTATTAGGATTTCCAGATTTTTCAGTGGATTTTAGGTTATTTTATGAGTCTAAAAGGTTTAGCATGATTTTCCGGTGAATTAAAGCTTGAACTGCCTTTTTTTCGGACTTGTAGAGATTGTTACTCTTTCCCATTGCTTAGAGACCTCTCTTTTAGTGCAGAAAAGGTTGATGTTGCATGGAAAACTCGGCTTTTCAGCCCCACTCTGCGCTTTATCATGTGTCTCTAATAGCCATCCATCTCCTTACAAAACATCTGAGGCTTCTCCCTTTTCCGGAGGTCGAGACTTCCCAGGCATTTCCGGGTTGTAGGTCGTTGAATCGTTCCCGGAATGATTCCCGCAATAGTTGAGCCCGGGCTGTGTAGTCGTGGCTCAGTCCCCCCCTTTCCCCTTTCGTGCGCGCTTTGACTAAAGGCTGAATTTAGTGATGACCGACGAGGAGCTGCGACCGTCCCTGGCCCAGCAGGAGGAGATGAAGATCGTCAAGCGCAACGTGAAGGGCACCGTTAAGTGGTACTCGATCGCCCGCGGCCACTACGGCTACATCCGCACCGAGACCGGGCAAGACGTCCGTGTTCGCCAAGTGAGTTTGTTTCTCCTTTTGCTGGCGGGTTTCCGCATTTAATTTGGCGTCGATATTTTTTGGAGGCGCCTATTATATTTTTACTTTTCAGGCGTCAATCTTGAAATCGAAGACTACAAAGACTTACCGGCGAACACTTGCCAACGGCGAAGAGGTTATGTTCGACATTGCCGAGTGCGCCAAAGGACTGGAGGCCGTGAACGTCACCGGACCAGATGGCCGTGAAGTCATGGGCTCGCCCGACCTCCGTCATCAGCACCCCTCGGGCCGTCAAGGTATGGTCGTCCGCAAATTTCGCAATCATTGCTTTAGGAAATTTCGGCTCAAAAGCAGCCGGCTTACAGCGCCTTGACTTTGGGCTATGCTACCTTTTGCTTACCGCCATACACTCCCCCCCCCACCCGCTGCGAAACGCACGCGACCTGGCTCACTATGTTCAAAATCGTGCCAACAGGCGTTTATACTACCAAATACAAAAATCGGTTTTTAAATATGAAAATTAGGTTTTTAGATTTTGTTCTTGATCAGTTTGGGGGTTTTTGAGCGCGCCGTATCCGAAACCGAAGAGGCCTAAGCGCTAGATCCTCCCCCCTTCGAGTTGAATTCGGCTTCACACGGACCGAGATCACAACAAGATTATTAAAGTTGATTGGATTTTAGAAGCGATGGTAGGACAATTGGACTGCCCATTCGAAGCGGATTTTGTGCGAGCCATCTTCAAAGGCAACCACACACTTTTCATTGGGGATTCCCGTGAGTTTTCGTTAGAATCGTGCAAAGTCCTGTTCAGTAATGCGCGGGGTCTACAAAGATTTTGTCTGCATGATCGAATCCCGCGACGAGCGCTTGCTGACAGAGGAACAGGGCAAAGCGCTACAAGAACCATCTATCTACGGTGATCGACAGGTGCGTGGCCTCGGAAAATTGGTGAACGGTTTATTTTTTAAATGCGCTCGTTCAGATTGACATCGAGCCGTTTAAAAATGATCGTGTCGCCGTACAGGCCCGCGAATACCACACGCCGGATTTCCTGCTACAGTTCCATTTCACGACTAGGTATATCCGGGTCAGTTACATCCGTTATCGCTCAGGATCTTCAAACACGACCTTGAAGCGGCGTTAGCACAGATGAAGCGTGACCATCGCTTTCCGAGAATGGTCTTCTTGAACAGCTGTTTATGGGACATTTCGCGGTTTGGTCCTAGTGATCATTGGGTTCTTTCGCATTATCGGGAGGGGAGCAACTTTTTTTCCTTGGATTTTTCGCATATGAATAGTATGAGTGTTTCTAAATCGTTTTTTTTACTATTCTTGAGCGTCAAAACTTAAAAAAAATTATTTCAAATGTCAAAAATATAATTTTTCGACCAAAAATTTTTACCAAATTCCGACTTTTTCAAAACTTTTTATATAGTTTTTTAGTTTAAATATTGATTTCATACTAAAAACGACCCAAACTTATGCAAACATGTTTGTTCCTCCCCCCGATAATGCGACAGAACCGACACTTGAAACTTTACTTTAGCTACGACGCGATCGCCACTCGACTCGATGAAAATACGGACGATAGAGGTTGGTACACATGGGTGTCGAATTTGCATTTTTAGATGGCGTTCGGACCCAACGAAAAGTCCTTGAAGAATACGAAACGCGGTACTGCTTATACGTAAATGAAGTCTTGTTTTAGGGCCGGAGTGCTCTTCCAGCGCCTAAAGCTCGTCCTTCCGGCTAGTTCTGCGGTTTTTGTTGTGTTGATGCCACATGTTGTACCTGAGCGCGGAAGGTATTTTTTGGTTTGGGAATCTGAACCGTGTTTCAAGATTTTTACCTCGTTATGACGGCGACACCTTCCACAACAAAGATTTACTGAGGTACTGAAAATCTTGGGTGCCACCCCTTTAATGTGGGGAAGCTAATTTTATTTTTCCGCCGGCTCCCCGACACTTGCGGCGCGGACACTTGCGGCGCGACACTTGCGGCGCGACATATGCGGCGCGACACTTGCGGCGCGACACTTGCGGCCGACACTTGCGGCGCGGTCATTTGCGCCGCGACACTTGCGGCGCGACACTTGCGCCCGACACTTGCGGCGCAGCATCTATTATTTTAAAATGTTGTAATTTTAGCAATTCGTCGCGGATTTTGTTGTAATTGTTGTATTTATGTTCAAATTTAGCAATTTAGCGGATACGCAGTCGGAACGCCCCTGAGGGCGTCAGGCAAGGTGGGCCGTCGCTTCGGATGGGCTGCCGCTCCACTCTTTCTAAATCGGGGCGCCTGGGCGCTTCGCGCTCCTCGGGCGCCCCGATTTAGAAACCCTGTACGAGCTCGCACCCATCCGAAGCGACTAGGCCCCGGATGGCACGAAGCCTTTTTTTTAGTCGCAGAGCGGGGGAAGTAGCGGCCACTTTCCCTCCAAAGTGAGTGACTTCTGTCGCAAACCCGACTTTTTATAGTTTTTTAATACCAAATTCGGACGCAGCTTATCAAATAACACCTTAAACTATTTTTATAGCAGCTTATACTAAATAACCGCAAGGTCGCGCCGCAAGTGTCGGGCGCAAGTGTCGCGCCGCAAATGTCGCGCCGCAAGTGTCGGGCGCAAGTGTCGCGCCGCAAGTGTCGCGCCGCAAGTGTCGCAGCCGCAAGTGTCGCGCCGCAAGTGTCGCGCCGCAAGTGTCCGCGCCGCAAGTGTCGCGGTACCTTTTCCGCCGATACCTACCTGTTCATAATAAATAGTGTGTTTTAAAATGTTTTTAGTAGTTTTTGATGGCCAGAAGGTTATAACGGATATTTTTAAAAATTTGAAAAATTGAAAATTGGTTCCCCCGTTAAGCCCCCCCCCCCACCTCCCGTTAAAAGGGTAGCGCCAAATCACGCAAGCGGCCAACTATAGTATTCGCTTTAGGGCCTTCTTCACGAAGGCGCAGTCCCAGATGGCCCAGCTAGCTAGACTACATGGATTTTCGGTGATCGATCTCGACTTTCTCATGCGCTCTCCACATCTAGAAGATCTACGGGCCAAGTGTGTTTTTTTTGGCTAGTAATGCCTTTCACTTTTTTTGTATTGCTGTATTTTTTTTGTATTGCTGTATTTCATACCGTTTTTCAGCGATGGAGTTCATTGGAAGCCGGAAGCGCAACGTCTGATGAATCAAGCGATCATTGCGCATCTCGTCCGCGACTTTGACCTGAAAGTACCGCCATCGACGAGCAGACGCTGGGATCGCCTGTAACTACTTGAAACCCGTGCCGATGAATTTCTTTAGCTTCAAAGATTGCTTCGACGACCCGGATCTGATGTGTGGAAAGTATTTCGAGGCAATGCTGACCAAGCTAAACAAAGTGCCAAACCATGTGAACAGTAAGGGGGTGGATGGGGCGCGTAGGGATTTTTTAGGGGATGATTTGCCGAAAAAGGAGTTCGAGGATGACGAGGAGAACAAGGACAAAAAGATTTTGCCCGTAAGCGGCTACAAGCCCTACTACGTAAGGGAGCAAGATGTCTTCCAGAGATTGACCTGGAAGCGATTGGAACCAGCGAAGTAAGATGATTTTTTACCTGTTCGTAATAAATAGTCTCTTTTATAAGCCCCCCCCCCCTCCCCACCGCGTTAAAGGGGTAGCACCTAGTTTCACAACGTTTTGCGCACGCAACCGTTGATCCTCGATATTCAACTTTCTTTGCAGGCGCGAGGCTATTGGTGAGGACATCCAGACGATGCGCATGACGTTGCTCATACAGAAGAATGTTCGTCTCGAAGAGCAGGATCATCCCGCATTTGAGAGCAGGGTACTTTCAATATTTTCAAGCATTCCCAGTTGTTGTTTTGTAGTTGTCGAAGGGCCAACAGGCTCCCGTGCAGCCAGGCCGACGTGCCTTCCCCGAAGCGGTTAGTTTTATGAGAGGATTTGCTGTTGTTTGCACACTGTAATAACCGTTTTTTTGGTGACCGTGGGGTTTCAATACTTGAGATAACATAGGTTGTGCAGAATTTTTCGCTGACTCCGAATCTCCGTCTTCTTGTTGCGGCACGCTTCTGGTTAAAAATTTACAACCGTTTCCAAAAGGTTCGAAAATGCCGAACTTTATCTCCTCCTAAGAAACTCATGAAATACTTATAATTAATAAATTTAGAAAATGCTTTTTCGAATGGGCCACCACGCGATCCAGCGGCATGAAATTCACGAAAAAATTGTTCTCGGGCCCATGATGCTGATAGAGCGGCCAATTTTTCGAATCTTGTGAATTTCGAGCCACGGGTTCGTGAGGTAGCCATTCGAAAGAGCACGTTTGTCTACCCGTACGAACGGCATAATCTACCCTCAATTTCTTAGCAGGATCTCTGGTCCGACATTTTCGACCCTTTTCGCTCGACAAACTGTTGTAAATTTTTGACGAGAAGGGTTCCGCAACTTAATAAGACGGAGATTCGTAATCAGTGAAAAAGTTTGCACAAGATGTGCTATCTCAAGTATAGAAATTCCACCGTGTCAAACGCGCATTTTCCAGGGGTCCGTCTTGGGCGTCAAGGCGGATTACCAGCATTTGGAATGGGAAGACTGTCGGCCAGCGCCCGAAGCCGGTGCTTCAGATACCTCCAAGAGCGTGCCGCAATCGTCAAAGCGTGGCAATGGACAACCGTGGTTCCCGGGTGAGATTTTTGTAAATTATTTGGTGAACCCGGGCGTGCGAATTTTTTGGCTGGCTACAAGCTGAGCGTGGAATAATCGGTTGTGGTGAATGCATCATTATCGTGAGACTTGGTGTCCGACCCGTCCTCGACTAGTATCGAATTACAGCGGCCGCGATGTCCTCCTCATCAACATCTCACACCAGCACGCTGTCGGCCGGCCTGCCTTCTGATCGGGAGATTGAACTTCTCGTCGATACTGTTCGAGGAAACCCCTCAAGGAACAGGAACGCTTCCCCATTGCCTCATCAGCCGAGAAATAAGGTAATTTTGTTTGCGGTCTGGGTTGTTGGTGCTACCCCTTTAACGGGGGGGAGGACCATTTTCCCCCCAGTAATTCCGTACGGCTCTATAACGTAATATAAACCATTTTATAGTATTTTACGCAGTTTTTAGATATAAAAAGTTTATCAAAAAATTATAAAAATTTTTGAACACTTTTGACTTTTTGGCCAAAAATGTATTTTCAAAATATTTATTACCAGGGTTGAAAAGCCGCTTCGCGACTTTTCAACCCTGGACCCGTCTTGGACCCCATGCTATTCCGCCCTTTGCATAATTATCCTTCATTCAGAAGGCCAAAAAAAATGAAAAACACCCCGTCTGCCTCTGTATATAGACGACCGCTCACTTCCGGTCGATGCTAATTCTTACTAACAAAGAGGTTTTTACAAAAACCTAAATTTAATAGCGAAAATGGCTAATTTTTCAAAATCTGATATGTGTGCAGTGATCCCTAGACCATTACGCACCTAATGACGTATCGAACTTAGCCTAATACCCGTCCCTTCTTGAGATATCCTCTGGACAGACAGACGGAAGTTGATGCAAAGTGGCACACACACACAGACACACAGACACTATTTTTTTATACAGGGTGTCCCAAAAAAAAAGACCCCCCCAAAAATTTGAGCCAAAGGGCACCTACGGAGCTGAAAATTTGCACAGGGGTAGCGAAGCCAATTTTCTATGAACAAGGAAAGTTTCGGCCTGATCGGCTTGCGGGTTTTAAAGTTATAGCGAAAATACTTTTCATTTTTAATTTAATATGGGGATCTTTGCAATTTGAATCAAAAATATGCGTTATTCTTGCATTTACGAGCCGATTTTGCATAAATTCCGCTGAAAAATGTCATTTTCTTGATGGAGCTTTTGGAAAACGATTGCTCGTGTAGCGAGAAAATGATCAGCAAGAACGATGAGTACCAGAGCTCATGGCGGAAACTATCGTTGAACGCTTGAGCTTGGCTTAGACTTCGGCGTACGCGCCAACGTAAGCCCAAATCTATACTTCAACACTGTTTTCGAGCTCGTCGAACTCTGTTTTCGGGCCGACGAAGCTCAATTGCCAAAATGGACAATAACACGTGATTTGGATCGATAAAACAGTTGTTTTAACACTCTTTTTATTCTTCATACGCAATCGTTTTCCAAAAGCTCCATCAAGAAAATGACATTTTTCAGCGGAATTTATGCAAAATCGGCTCGTAAATGCAAGAATAACGCATATTTTTGATTCAAATTGCAAAGATCCCCATATTAAATTAAAAATGAAAAGTATTTTCGCTATAACTTTAAAACCCGCAAGCCGATCAGGCCGAAACTTTCCTTGTTCATAGAAAATTGGCTTCGCTACCCCTGTGCAAATTTTCAGCTCCGTAGGTGCCCTCTGGCTCAAATTTTTGGGGGGTCTTTTTTTTTGGGACACCCTGTATATAGTAGGATAGGATAACTTTCTAGCAATTAAAAACTCCTAAAAGCATTATAAAATTTACTATTTATTATCAACAGGTGGAAACAATAGGCGGAAAATAAAAATTAGCTTTCCCCCTTCGTTAAAGGGGTAGCACCGGGGTGTTGTTCGCTAATTGTTCAGTAGGTCAGTAGTTCAGTTCAGCGGTTGTTTTTACATTGGCTTTTAGGAGCGCCCTTCGGCCCGTAAGATTGCTACGGTCTCTCCGAAGACCGTGAAGACACCAAGTCCAGTTGAGCGGCTTTCGCTGACCGGTGAGAATGTCAATGAGGCAAGCGGCCAGATGCAGAACCCGGGCGCCGTTGTAACAGGACTGGTCGCCAAGGCTCTTCCTACCGGAAACACGGCACCAAAAGTTAAAGGTATTGATTGTGCGAATCAATTGTTGCCTGTGCTTCCTTTTCGCCGATAATACTCACGTTTTTAGAGATAAACGTCACCGAGGAAGTGGCTTCCTTCTCCGCTCTCACCCTCCTCGAGCAACCAGATCAATTGGATCTGAAGACCAATCACCTGTTTTAACTTTTTGTTCCTTGTTTTAAACTGTTCATTGTTGTTGCTCGAACTTCGTTCGATAAATCTTTTATTTCTAATTACTAAACCGTTTTTGTAAGTTTTGTTTTGTAAGTTCAAAAATCCCTAGTCACTGGACAGCAAGTATTTTTAGTGATTGTAGTAGATTATAACTATATTTCACCTCGAAAACCCATTTAAAAAATTTTAAAATTCGACATTTTGGTCGAAAATCTATACTTTTTGTAATCTACTATATGTTTTTATAACAAAGTTTTAAAGTTTTTACGGCTAGGAATCCAGGAGAGAGTCCGGCTCAATCTCCGGGTTGGTTTATAGTTCTCGTATTGTTTGAGGTCCACCTTCATAGGCTTGAGCTTTTCGATAGCAGAGGCGATAGTTTCTGTAGTTTGTTCCTCGCCAAGCAATAAAAGGATCCATAAATCGAGCCCGTGAACGTCGAAGGGTCGAGCGTCAGAGTTGAAGCTCAGATGATAGACGGATGCCCCGTGAAGGAGTACCTCCAGGGTTTCCGGGGTTTGAAGATGAAGCGGAGAATTGGGTTCAACGGAGGCTACGCATTCCAAATCTTCAAAGGACTTGTTCTTGACGTGTTTTGTCGCGTAGAGGAGGTTGTGATGAGCACGAGCCACCAAGATGAGGTCATTTCCGTCAAGTGGCTCCAGGATTTGCCACAAAAGGACGACCGGAAGATCGTAGATGTTGAGCGTTGTTTTGTAGACTTCCTTCTCTCCATCATGATCCTCATCTCCTTTCTTGTTGCCCTCCTCGACGCGTTCGGCTTGTTCCTTTCGAATTTTACATGGAGGAGGAGCCATCGAGGCGAGCATGAGGATGCGGTCTTTGCCTGAAAAAGGAGAGTATTTTGGCAGTAAAAATAGCAAAATGGAGAAGACAGGTATAAAATCTTGAAAAATTGATTTTTTTAAAATTTCTCCGAACATTTTAACTTTGCGCCACAAAATTTGCAACTTTATTTCTCCTTCACGTTTTTCTAAATTACAAAAAAACTTTCTTTGATAGAAAAACGAACGCTATACGTGCCTCCGGGGGTTATTTCTAACGAATTGTTGCGTAAATTACATCCACTCGCCACGCCATTTCTGATCTGCCCCTTTTTAGCCCTGGCCGAGCATAAAAACGTTCGTATTTTTGTGTTTTCTGCCCCATTTTTAGTGGAAAGTCATCAGAAATGTGATCTTTATTTTTTTGGGGTCGAGATTTTGGCTGTAGGGTGCGAATGGGCCATTTGTTCGAGCGATCTTGAGCCTTAGAAGAAAAAGAAGAAGATTGCTTCCGGTTTTCGGCACACGGCTTCAGGAAGCTTTTTTCTGGTCTATGGAACAATGCGGATATCACACCCGGGATTCTGGAATATTATTCTAGGCAAAAAATGGCGGATTTTAGGTTTTTTTGTTTCGATTTCGAGATTTTTCTGATTGTTTTAAAATCCTAGAAGAATTTTTTTGGAGTTTTCTACGCGCTTCGGGGGTGGTTTTGGGTTGAATTTTCAAATTTTTAAAGGTTTTGTTATGTTTTGGTTTTAAAATCGTAAAACTATTTTTAGCGGTCAGCCAACTACTCGGAATGCCACTTTTTATCCTTTTTTTTACAGTTTTCCAGCCTTTTTGGGTAAATTGAATTAGGATTTCTAGATTTTGCAGGGGGTTTTTAGGTCATTTTTTGAAGTCTAAAAGGTGTAGCATGATTTTCCGGTGGTTTAAAGCTTGAAGCAGCCTATTTATGGGTCTTTTAGAGTTTTCTACCCTTTTCCGTTGATTAGAGACCAATCTTTTAGTGTAGAAAAGGGTTGACGTTGCGTGGAAAACTCGACTCTTCGACCCCACTCGGCCGATTGGACCAAATTTTCAATTTGGAAAAGTTGTTTTTTAAAACCCGTAAGTTTTCCTGCGACTTTCCAATAAAAAACGTCATTTTATTGGGTTTCGGGTCCCTTTAAAAGGCGAGCTCTCGGTCTGTATGAGCCATATCTTCTCTTTCCATTTTCTGCCAGTTTTCCCATTAGTCTGTCCCTTTAGAGAGGGTCTTTCTGTTGGTGTTATTGGCTTCATCGTGTGTCTCTAATAGCCATCCATATTCCTTCCCCTAGGGCATTTCCTCTACTGGTCTCTTCTCCTTACAAAACATCTGCGGCTTCTCCTTTTTCAGGGAGTCTAGACTTTCCAGGGTTTCCGGGTTGTAGATCGTTGAATTTTATGGTGAGTTTTGGTAGTTTGTACTTTATTTCACGGTAAATTTAATGAACCTAGCAGTCAAATGACCTCTGCTAGTTTTCCCGGTCTCTAGAAGAATTTTGTAGCCTGTAGTTTGCATTTTTAGCTCCAGTTAGGCGTTTCAGACTTGTAAAAATTTTTAGATCGACGTTAGCTGGTCAAAACAATATTTTTTGTAGTTTGTACTTTATTTTACGCTAAATTTAACGAATCTAGCGGTAAAATGCCTACTGCTAGCTTGCCCGATTTCTATGCGAATTTTGTAGTTTGTAGTTTACCTTTTTGACAGCCAGGTAAGGAATTGGCAAGTAAAAATCCTCAAGAAACTCCACTAGTTGTCGATGAGCTCCTTTTCAAGGGTTTCTCGTTTTAATCTAGCCGTCAAACGATCTCTGCTGGGGTGCCCGGTTTCTAACAGGTTTTTGTAGCCTGTAGTTTCGCTTTTTGACAACGTGTAGATTTTTTAAGCTCAAACCAGGGTTGAAAAGCCGCTTCGCGACTTTTCACCCCTGGCCCCGTTTGGACAAATGAAACTGTAAACTTTGCATAATTCAGCCTCGTTCAAGCTGACAAAAATGAAAAGATTTTCTTCCATAGGCTTTTATAGGCTTCTTTTACTTCCGGTATATGCTAATTGTTTCCTACCAAAGAGGGTTCTCGAAAATTTTAGAAAAACTTATTTTTAATATCGAAAATAACGTATTTCGATAATTCTGTTATGCGTGCAGTCATCGCAGAGCCATTACGCACCTAATGACGTATCATACGTACCCTAATATTCATCCCCTATTGAGTTATCCTCCGGACATAGAGACGGAAGTTGCATGCAAATCGACACACACACACACAGACACTACTTTTTTATATATAGTAGGATCCGCAAAAATCACTGCTAGCTTCAAAAAAAACAATACTTTTTAGCCATTTTTGGGTGCATTTCGTATAGTTTTCTCGTTTTGAAGATCCTCGCGCTATTTTTTTAGCAGATGTCTATGGCCAGGATTTCCAAAGGCTTCCCATGCCTGTGAAATCTGAGCTTTTCCGACTAATTGCCAATAATTCCTCCATTTTCGGGGGTGTTCAGGCTAGAAGAAGCGGACGTCCTCCATTCCTCCATTTTCACTCGAGCCCTTCCCTTCCCTTCGTCGTGATTAAGTGCAAAATGAGACGTCGTCTTCCCTGAATGAATGTCGGCTTCTTCTCACGCGACTCTTCTTCTTCTAGCAGTCTTTTCTTTCCTTTTAATTCTTCTAATCCTCATCGGCAATTCGAGACGATTCTGAAAAAGCGGTGGAGAAATTGAGGGCGTGCCAACTGGAAAGCCCCCATTTCAATTTAGCGAATCTGGAGTTTTTATAGCCTTAAAATTCTGAGAAATTGAGCGCACTTTGGACTTCTTCAACTTTCTACGTGCGGATTTGGCCTTGTTGGCGCAGCCCCGCCCTTCTTAGGCTCCCCTCTCTCCTAGCCTTATTGTAGGCGTGGCCTAACGGCTAGCACTTTTGCCTCTCGATCTCAAGGTCAGGGTTCGATTCCCGCGGGTGAAAAACTTTTTACCTTTTGCTCATAAACCATTCTTTCGGGTTCCGTTAGATTTTCCTACTGGTTTTTGGCCTTCCCTGTCCTCCAAATTGCAGCAAATCGACAGGGGACCGCGAAAAATCCGTTTCATTCATGGTTCATTCACCCAAAAACGTTTTGCAAGGGATTTCTCGAAATGAGGTTCTTCGCTTCTTCCAGATCTAGATTGCTATTTCAAGGGCCATTTTGTGGCTTTTGGGATACAGTATTTTGTGTCCCCGGGGTCTCATTTCAACGCCTAGATATTGCCCCCCCTTGACGCCCCCATTTTGTTCCGGTTCTTCTGGGAGCTTTTTCAATATCAGTGGATCCTCGAATGGCCAGTTTTCATTCGGAAATCCTGATCTTTTAAATATTTGTATCTTACAATTTCTAAATATATTTTGCCTGCCAGGTACCTTTAAATTCGAGCCACGTTTTTGGCCATTTTTCGATTTTTGGCCTCTCTCCAAATTTCCCGGTAGGCTAGCAGGGATCATTTCGGAAATTGAATCCGGTTATCTGGATGCCAGTTTACCCATTACGACAACGAGCAGAGGAAATTTTCGGAAAAGTGGTCTAAAAAGGACCATTTGCGAAATACACTGGCATGGCAAGCTAGCAGAGTCCATTTGGGAAGTGCTAATCGGTTGGCTGGGTGCCAGCTTGGCCGATAGGGAAGCTAGCAGGGTTTCTTTCGGGATGGGTAGCTAGCAGAGGTCATTTATCTCGATCCGCTGCGGCCCTTCGTTTCCTAAAATGTGGGCTCTTGCCCTATTTCATGCCCTCCCAACCAAATCGAGGCGATAAATTTTGGATCAGTTTCGTCGCGTCGAAACAACAGAAAAGAGAGAGAGAGAGAGAGAGAGAGAGAGAGAGAGAGAGACAGACAGAGACAGACAGACAGACAGAGGGACAGAGAGAGATACAAGCCTTTTTAGGGTGTTTTAGGTGCTAGGAGACGCGTTGGGAGGATGAACGCGGAATCCTTTTAAGAATTCTGAGCGGCCGATCGAGGGATGGGGGGAGGGTAGATGGAATGACTGACTGACTGACAACACGTCAGTCTATGGTAGCCTGAGCCTTGCCATTGACCGATTTCCCCGAATGGTGTCTGCTAGCTTGCCATTACCCTAACTGCCAGCCAGTTAATCGATTAGGGCGTTATAAATGGTCTCTGCTAGCTTGCCT